AAAAAAAAAAAAGAAGAAGTACCAAACAAATGATAAAGAAAATTTAGAAAGAAAATATCTTTAAATAAAGGCTAAGATTAAGGAGACACCCCTTATAGCCTTAATAGACATATAAATCTTAAAATCTTTCAAAATTCAACCAAAAACTACATCTCAAGCACTTAAATAAGTATTGGGGTAGACATTATAACTAAGATTTTAAAGTTGATCTTCACAACACTATACAAGATGTTGTTTTAATCTCAGAGAGGTTAACTTGTCCACAGTAAAAGCCAGTCAGTAGCTTTCAAATCACTGTCATCCTGAGCAACCAGGCAGTACTTTCCACAAGGCTCTCATTCATTCACCACTCAAACTCTAGCTTTCAACAACTGATTAGTGTCTACATCATAAGAAGCATTAATCAGCCACTTTCCTCAAGTTGAATGCACATTTCAAAGAGGATTTAGCTTACAAACTGATTTAAATATATCTTTTAGAATGCCTTTCTTAATGTTATATACTTACACTGATAGTGACCAATAAAAATTAACTCCAAATTATGAAGGTTTTTCCTACAAGGTCAAGTTTTTTGTTATTGCCCTTAAGACATTTTTCTCTTACCAAGTTTAAAATGCTCTGTTTACTTTAACATTATAAAAGTAATATATCAACACACAAAGAAAAACTCAAGCAATACAGAAGGGTATCTGAGGGAGGGCAAGTGTCCGCCTTCCTCCCTTGGTTACAGTAACTACCATAAATTCCTTACCACCCCGATCCCTAAACATAACCACTGTTAACTGTGGGTCCTTCCAAACCTTTCTAATCTATGCAAGCAAATATTTGCATATACATTCAAATTTACACAAGTATAGGCATGTTTATATACATATACAATGTGCTTGTATGTTTAACCATGTATCAAACGGGATTATTCCACACACAGTCTTCAATACCTTGCTACCACTTAATATATACTGTCTTAGCTCATTCTCGTGTCCGTTCATGTGATGGTCTGTACCCTGGAGGCCCCCGTGAGCCAGGCTTCTGTATCCACTGCCCTGTGCACTCCCCTCCTGCTCACTCCAGGACTAGCCTGGCTAGTGAGGTATCAGCTAACATGTTGCACTAGAATGTGATAAACACAGGCCAGGGACTGTCCTTTTGGTAAGACCACCCCTGAATCCAGTACCATCCCCTGAAGCAGCCCCCACAGATATATAAAAAGGCCCACAGGAAAACAGAGATTCCTAGTGAAGAGCTCTGACTGGGCTCTCAGCAGAATCTCTACATGAAGGGCAGGAAATCACAGCAAGATATGTACAGCTTCTGAGCTAAGAATTCTGTTTTTTCTTTCTTTTTCTTTTTCTTTTTTTTTGAGACAGGGCCTTGCTATGTATTCCAGGCTGGCCTCAAACTCATGGTGATCCTCCTGCCTCAGTCTCCAGAATGCTGAGATTACAGGCATGCACTATGACTCCTAGCTTTTCATATTTTCAAAGGATAATTTTTAAAAATGTGACAGAGACCGCTACACAAAAAATCTTGCCTATTCCAGCACTCAAGTTATAGTTGTTCTATAGTTGCTCAAGTGCCAGCCAACACCATGCAAAGAACCGCATAGGTAACTCTCAGAATTTAAAGAATGAATTGTTATTTTAACTCCTAAGTTTTGAGGTGGTGTATCATACAAAAATATGCCTCTGTCATTGTTTAATAATTGTATAGTATTCTATCTTATGGTACATAAGTATTTATTGAACTACTAAATATCCTCTTAACAGTGTGATTTATTTTGCCATTGTCAATGTTTAAGTATACATTTTTGATATGTTTTTGCATACTTATCCAAATGTATCCAGAATAGTACTAGAAACTAAACTGCATATAAAATAGTACTAGAATATAAAATAACATACATATAAAATAGCATACATATATGGAGATACCTCAAAGAGCTTGGACTGGAGGTTCCATTTGACCCAGCCATCCCTCTGCTGGGTGTCTTTCCAAAAGAACTAAAAGAATCATATCACAGAGAAGTATGCACACCCATGTTTATAGTGTCACAGTTTGTAATAGCTAAAATTTGGAAACAAACCATGTGCCCATCCGTTGGAGACTGGATAAAGAAGATGTGGTTTTTCTATAAAATGGAATATTATTCAGCCATAAAGAATGAGAAAATAGATTAATTCATAGGAAAATGGATACATATTGAAGATATATATTGAAGTGAAATAAATAAGGCACACGTGTAAATACCGAATAGTTTCTCTGGTGTGAATAATCTGTAATAGTACATAAGATCCTAATGATATAATGGACATTGTGAAATAG